AGCAAGTGCCTGTAGTCCCAGCTACTTGGGGGGCTGAGGCAGGAGGATCGCTTGCGCTCAGGAGTTTGATGTTGCTGTAAGCTAGACTGAGGCCACAGCACTCTAGCCTGGGTAACAGAGTGAGACTCTGTCTAAAAACGACAAAAATTCACATGCAAAGGTAGTCAACACCATGTTGCACATTCAGAACTCGCAGTGAGCAAGTGCACTTCTAAATGTGGCTTTTGGTTTTTTGCAGTCCCCACGCTCCCCCCTGCCGACACGTTTTAATGACTGTCTTCATCCTTATTTCAATCAGCTGTAACATGGGGGTACAGATTAATTAATAATGATTGTTTTATTTTTTTGACATTACTGTTATGTTTTTTATTCTAGTAAAGTTTCAATAGATGTTCTCTTAGCACTGGTTGAGGCAGTCCTCAGTCTCCTTCAAGTTAACCACATCCTAAATAATCCACATACCTCTAAACCCAAAAGTGAATGAAATATACTAAGAATTGGGTAAGAGCAAGTCTCCCAGGATTCTGTACCCACATTCCCAGAGTAGAAAGTATTCAGGCTTCTATGAGAAAAACAAAGCAACTTATGAAAGTTTATAAGTTAGGATGGCATTCATATAAAAGGCCAATGGAATGTTGTCAGAATCCTCTCATGGATACTCCTTCACTGACCATGCATTTTGACCTTTGGAAATAATCAACTAGGAGCTCAGAGATCCTAAAATTGATCAAGCAGGATGGTGCCTGCGCCTCAGTGGGTAGGGCGTTGGCCCCAGGCCCCGGCCAAACTGTAATAAAAAAATAGCTGGGCATTGTGGCAGGCGCCTGTAGTCCCAGCTACTCAGGAAGCTGAGGCAGGAGAATTGCCTAAGCCCAGGAGTTGGAGGTTGCTGTGAGCTGTGACACCACAGCACTCTACTGAGGGCGATAAAATGAGACTGTCTGAAAAGAAACAAAAAACAAAAAACTAAAGTTGATCAGGCAAAAGAAAAATAAAAGAATATATTTGAAAAGAAAAGTTACTCCTGAGAGTAAGAAGAGAGTTGCCTGCATAAATATATTGAATAAAAAGAATGGGAGGGAGGAAAGGATTAAATATAGGATGAAATATAGGTGTAGTATAGCAATAAATAAGCTTGCAGCATGTCAAAGTGATTTGAAAGTTGAAGTGGAACTAGGTGACAGCTCTAGGCAAAAATATTTCTAATTGGAATACATATGAGTTTGTTACTGACATGAGAAATTGTTCTCCAATTGTTAATACATTAAATAATAAATTTTATAATAATATTCTAGAACTTCACTATAACTCTCCTTCTGTATTAGGAAATTTCTTATAAGGTAAATCCAAACGGTACACCATCTGAGACTGTTTATGATCATAAATGCTGCAAAGACTTTTGTAACACTCTGTAATACTTTGTAACATTGTCCTAGGGGAAGCATATCCGAAAAGAACAGTCTGGAACAGTCTATTTTTCCGCTAAGAACGTGACATAAGAATAATTCTTTCTTTTTTTTGTAAGAGATTGTGTTTTTCTCAGGTTGTCTTGAACTCCCAAACTCAGAAGATCCTCCTGCCCCAGCCTCCCAGCATGCCGGCATTATAGGCATGAGCCACCACGCTCAGCCAAGAATAATTCTTTCTAGTAATTATGAGTCAATTTTCTCATCAAATATTTTCTAGTTGCAAGCAACCACGGGAAAATGTGAACGAAAATACACTATGCAATAATAACTAGTACATACAAGATATAATTGTTTGTTAAACCACTGAATAAAAGTTGCTTAGTTTAGTTTGGAACTCTAAGCATTTATGCATAAAAATAAATTAGGGTGGTAGTGCCTGTGGCTCAAAGGAGTAAGACGCTAGCCCCATATGCCAGAGGTGGCAGGTTCAAACCCAGCCCTGGCCCAAAACTGTAAAAATAAATAAATAAATAAATTAGGGGAAAAACTTTGCTTATTTGTCTTCTTTTTCTCATTCTGTAAACATTAACATTTGGTAGCATCACTTTATTATTTTAGCTGATTATTATAATTATGACATGTTTATAAGATGCTAGCTTTTTTTTCTTTTTCTTTGTGACCAGGATGTTCTCTGGTACTGAAAAGATCTGAAGTCTCAATTTCACCTGCCTACTAGTTATTGATTTTCTGATCTTGGAAAAATTACCTAACTTCGTAAATTTCAGTTTCTTGATTCATAAAACAGGTAAAACAATAGTTCCTTAAAGAGTTGTTGTGAATATTAAGAATTTAAGTGAAGGAATTTAACTTAGTATCTGCTATAGTATAATCACTTTGTGAATGGTAGTTATTAGTAATAATTATCATGACCAAATTAAATTATTTCTGAGAGAAGTCATTTCTTTCTTAACAACCTCTGAGTAGCACATCTATTTTGGAAAACATAAAATTATTATTTTTAACAAACCGTGTGGGTTGTAGCAATAGGCGTCCCATCTTTCACTCCTATTGAGACGGACTCCATAATCAATGATACCAGTTTTTCCAAATCCACAGTTGGGGCCTGGCTTCACAATGGGGTATCCAACTCTGCCCTTGGCCATCCATCCAGCAGCACAGACGTGAAATCCTGCAAGATGAAGGGTTACAGACTAAATTGGTAAACTCCCTCACATGAGCAAAGGTCATCTTGAGATGACCACTTCCAAAAGATAAGTTTTTCAACTGCCCAAATCTAGTTCATGTAAAAGAGAAAAATTGTTTTCTTAAGAACAATTTCAAGATGTTTGGATACACATAACATCTGACTTCTGATTTTTACTAGAAAACTACATCTTATTCAGAAAAATAAATTGTTAGATGGACCAGAAAGTGTAATACTGTGGCTATGAAAATAACCCAAGTTCAGAGCTGGCTTCTTTTCATCTCCAGGCCTAGCGAGTGCCTTGAGATCATTTCTGAAATTATCATCAGTTCTGAAAAAAAAAAAATTCAAGTGGTATTTTAATTAGTTTCTATTTCAGGATCAATTAAGATACTAGTAATATTTTCAGAGATTTGAATAAAGACAAATTCTTTCATAAGTTTCATCTGAAGGCTCCTCCCTGTTTCCCTTGCTCAGTTTTAGAGGCTGTTTTAGTATCTGCCAATGTTATCCAAGAGGGAATTCACCAGAGGTCCCCAGGGCTAGTAAAGACCATGGCCTTTGTATCCATCTTTACAATTACTTTGCCCCCCATAGCCGTGTGATTAAAGATGAGTAGTTGTCCGGGGAGGCTTTGGGGTATTTGAGAGAACATTATTATTTTTGTCTTCAGTAATGGGTAATAAGAGCATAACCTTTGCTGGACATTATTCTGTCAGCAAAGGAGTTCTGAAAGTCCCAGTGAGACGACAGTGGCCAATTTTTGTATAAAAAAGCAAATAACAGCAGTTAATTTCTGGGGTCTCCACAAGATCTGAATCTTTCTAATTTCTTTTCTGGTTATCGTTTACCCTCCTTGGATTGATCCACTTAGTGTAAAAAAAAAATTTGGAAAAAAAGGCCACTATATTTGATATTTCTCCTACCAACTGTTAACTAAATTTCCTTGTGAGACTCAGCTATAGTGTCATTGAATAGCTGAGAAAACCCACACTCAGAAGTCAAGAAGAGGTAGAACAATATCAAAAATGACTAGCAATAACTTTACAGTCCATGAGAAATTTAAATGATGTTGAGATAATTTCATTTTCTTTTCACTTTTATTTTAGTTCACACTGTCTTATGACCTCAAAGAAGTTGCTGGTACTAGAAATCTGCCAGCTCTCAGCAGATAGATGGGAAGAGGCAAAGAGCAGAGGTGTCTTAGGGGATAGAGAGAGAAGTCTTAATAAAGCTAACAGGTAAGGTGGATTTCATCCCCCAAAGGGTGGGGTGGGAAAAAGAAAAATCATTGTCAAATCAATTACCAATTTTTCTGGCTGCCTCTACTTGCTTGTAGGTTGCAAGACGGCCCCCTTCAAATTCGCACACCGCCTTAGCTTCAGCGTAGGTGAGCTTATATCTGCCAGACCGCGCTTCTCTGTGGTACACGCCTGCTGCTTGTTCTGTGAAATCACGCGTTAGCCATAAATGTACTACTATCCATCCTTGTGGAACAGGGAAATTTTGTGGCCTCAGCTGGAAGATTACATCAGCTATTGTTCCTGCCAAACGGCTTTCTGGGTCAGCTGCCTTGGGTGGCTAAGCTTTCATTGTTAGAAAGCTTCGAAAAAATATGAATGAGGGGAATTTTAGGGGGATTTAGGAACATAGAAACTTGAGGCTAAATGATGGTTTTGACCCTTTAGCCTGAAAAATATTTTTAACACAACATTATTTATAGTGTTTTTACACTATCAATAGATAATAATAATGTTTTGTTTTTCTTTTGGCTTTAGGTCATATAAAGACCTGGAAAAGTAAGCAATAGAGGAACAAAACGAGGTGAAGACAAAGAAAGCAATGAGAATTGGATTTATTATGTAGGCTCAGAAGGATGGAGAAAAATAAGCCAAAATATCCATTTGAGGGAAATGACTA